ATGAATTCACTTTCTTAATTTTTATTATTATTATATATTTTTATACAACTTCTACGAATTTCTTAATAACCTAATCACTCATACAAATTTATAAATCTTAGGGATTTTTATAATGAGATATGTATAATATAATTATTATCTATTATATATATATATATATATATATATATAAAAGGTTGAGTTCACGTGAGACCAAAGGTTTTTTGTGAGACTTGTAAGACCAATTTATGTTCATTGATCAACTTTATATATTTTCAATACATGATTTAGTTTAATTATGATATAAATAGAGATATATGATATCATATTTTTTAAATTGTTGAACTGAGAGTCTGTTTGACAGTTGTTGAATGGTTAAACGGTTAGAATGAATAAGAGACTCTCACAATATAGTGCAAAATGAAATTAAGGCGCTGAATGATTAAGAGGGGTTCATGATACAAAATTATTCAAAATGTTTTAGAACCATTAAGAGACATACTATTTTTTTAACAAATAAGATTCATCTTTTAACGATTTGAAGACTGTATTTTAATAAAACTATTAAAAGATAAACAAACAACCTTAAAAATAATATCACATAATTTTTTTAAGGAAACCTAAATTAAAAAAAAAAACCTTAACATTGTTTTAACAAGTCATGTTTTAGATGACATTAAATAAAAAATAAAAAAGTCCGTCATTCACATTATTTGACTTTTGGACGTGCTATTTCGCTTAAAAATAGAAAAAGAAGGTTTTTCGGTGGGAAGATGTAATCAACGGATATTAAGTATGCCACGTGTGGGTAAGGACTACCTCAAAGACTCCAAAGGAAACGTGGTGCTCATGCAAGTCCATATTAAACGTGTCCACAATTATGGAATTATATGCAATTTTATTTCATCAATTTCCATTTTTAATTTGGATTGTTGTCAACTAATTTTATATAGGATTTAATTTCGATGAGAATGAAAGTCAATGACGGATTCGGAAATTTACATGAACGGAGGGTTTAGGATAATAATATACAAGGATAACGACTGTTAAGGGACTGGAGGGTTTTATTAAAACGGACTAGGTCATTGGAGGGTAACCGTCAAAATTTCCTAGAAAAACAAAGCATATAAGAGTGAAGTTTCCCCCCACATTTTTCAAGGCAAATCCATCCCTGATGAGAGTTAAGACGAGAAGCGTAAGAAATGATCTACACCCTTAGATGCACGTGAAGATGAGATGTATCGGATCAATCTTTATATCAAATACGATTAATGGGTGGGTATAAATTAAAGGTGATCAAATGTCTAAATCTTTTCTTACACTTCTTAACTTAACTCTCTTCTCAAACGATACTTCGCCATTTTGTATATCATTAATTTTTAAATCACAAGGACAGAAAAGAAGAGGAAATTGAGTGAAATAGTCATTTTTGCATAAAACAATTCATCTGTTAGTCATTTCTTTTTCATTTTCATCAAAATTCATTACCTCTGCAAATGTCACTTTAGTGACTTGTGGAGGCGTTAAAAGACAAATAAAACTCACTTTTCATCCTGGTCCATAAAAAAACAAAAAATAAATAAGTCGTTTTTCACCCAGGAACACAAGTGGGTGAAAAGTGACTCTTTTTAGCTCTTTTTTATGTATATAATATTTAATATACGACAAATGTAATAAATAAACTCATATACCTTTCTCATTTTTGATGAGATTTGAACCTCTAACTTTTTAGTACGCCTTATTAATTTTGACATTCAATTATGATTGAATATTAGGGAGAAAAGATTGTATCGTCATATTTAATTCAAATAAATATTTATAATTCAATTACAAATAATAATATAATATCACCAATAAATATTTTATTTTGCTACATTTATTAGCCCTCAAATACATTTGACCAAAAGTTGACTTTGTTTCGTATTGACTACGCGAATATGCACCGAGCTTATGCGCGTAACGGTGGAGGAAAGCATTGAAATGTTATTTTTGTAGCCCTTGCATTTTACCTTATGTTCACTATCAACCCCCATACTTTTTTCAAAGGAGAAAATAAATCAAAAGGTGAAAACTTACCATCAAGAGTCATTACGATCAGTTACCTTATCGGGTAACATTCTAAGGAATCGAAATTAATTGTTGATAAACATATCTTATCGGATAAGCAATAAACATTAATTAGGTAAGAATCTTCGCTGTCAGTAAGATTTTCGATAATTGTTATGTCTCTTACATGGTAAGATTATCAGTACTTATCATGTTCATCATGTAAGATAAGTGACACATTGTAAATGTTTATATTTAAACAATTGATAAATGATCCTTTAGTTAAAAGCTTTTGCCAACGTGCATCAACATTAAGAAAGTCTGTTATAGTTCATATTCAAATTTTCTATTTTGTATCAATTTTGACTTTTAAATGATAGATTTTATAAATATTAATTATGCGAATGCCAAATTATCAAGTTATATTATAATTGTTGATCATATGAAACACATGTCAGAGGTTGTTTGTTTACTTCTTCATAGTTTCATTAAGAGGCAAACTCTGAATCGTTAAGAGGTGAATCTTGTTTGACAAAAAAAAAAAAAAAAATTATCTGAATGGTTTTTCATCCTGAGCCTCCCTTAACCATTTACCATCCTAGTTCCATTATAAACAATTATATTTTATTTTGCATTGTATCATGAGAGCCTCTTAATAATTCTGACCTCTTAGTCATTCTACACTATTTTATTTAACAATTACCAAACAACCCCTTATATTACCCTACTAGTAAAAAGTTGTTAGTTCCCTGGATCCATGTGTGAGGCTGATTATGACCCATTTGATGAAAGGTAAGCGCTTTGGCTAATCAATGTCAAGTATGTTGAAAACTCGATCATTAGATAAGTGCGTATGCAATATAAATAAAGCGAACATTTGTTACACTAATTGATCCTTTTTTACCATTACTGTATAAAGAAACAAGACAAACTTCATTATATTTTGGTACATTTTGTTCTTAATCTTCAAAAGATTATATCACATGTTAGCATAATATCAGGAATCTTTAGCTTTTGACACAACAAAAAATAACTACACAAGTGAATACAAGGATTAAATTTGCCAATTACTAAAAGCACAAGGTGAAAGTGAAACTTATACTTGGTCGATACTATTTACACATTTATTTGCAAATGGATCATGTTGTCTCTTTATTTGTCGTATGTTCTTCTTGCTTCGTTTCTCTATAAAACAATTGATTTCAATCCAATTTTGATAAAATTCATATAAATCCCCAACCAACTTCAATCCAAACCCCAAATCCAATCTAACCAAACCCATAATTTTTTACCCCCAATTCCTTAATTCATACCTCCCCCTTTTGGATTACGTTAATTGGAATCAGTAATCTTTGTTTCGACGATCGATTCGAAGAACAGAAGAGATAAATCGCGTAATCAGCCATGACGAGACGATGTTCTCATTGCAGTAACAATGGTCACAACTCACGAACTTGCCCTAATCGAGGCGTGAAGTTATTTGGGGTCCGGATTACTGATGGATCGATCCGAAAGAGTGCTAGTATGGGGAACTTGACCCACTACACCGGATCCGGAAGCAACAACTTCTTAAATGGATTTGCCGGTGGCGGCGGTACCGACGTTGATTCGCCGGGAGATACTCCGGATCATAACGCCGCCGCTGATGGTTACGGGTCGGAGGATTTCGTTGCCGGGTCGTCTTCAAGCCGTGAAAGGAAAAAAGGTTAAAAACACTCTGGTTTTTTTTCGTTTAATTTGATTTTTTAACCATCGGATTTCGAAACCATGCAGGTGATGATTTTGATTCAATTTCATCCTAATTTTGTGTTTTGATTTCTAATTTTGTTGATTAGTACTATCAATTGGAGGTGATAATTTCTAACTTTGAGTTTAAATTGATTGCATTTTGGTGATCAAATTGGATGCTAAATCTATGATCCAAAAAGTGCTTTTTGAATCATTTTCATTTTTTGAGGCTAATCATTACTCTCACAGCACTAGTAGTATGTTATGATTATGGACTTTATATGTGTCTGTATATATACATATAGATATAGGGGCTTATCCAAAATTTATGAGAACCACCAGAACTTCTACCTCGAGATTTTGTTTCACATGATCTTTTCATGTAGGTAGAGTATTTAATATATTTACGTATATTTTTTGTTTCACATACACACCAAATAGGTTCACATCATGAAGATGAACTGAGTACACGATAAACAAACACATTGTGGAACACACATACATATATAAATATATGTTTTCACTGTATTAAATTCTAGCCGTGGATGAAAAAAATATATAAAATAGCACATGGCATACTGGTTCTCAGAAATCTCACGATTGAGAGAGTTGTCAAAAGAAGGTCCATTATCTATAGAGGTTTGGGTTCACGTGAGACCAACCTATTTTTGTGAGACCGATGAGACCATATTTTTACAACTGAAACTTTACGGCAAAACATTGTGAAGGTAAAAAAAATTCGAACCTTCACAGCAAGAACACTATGAAGGTTACCTTCACAATGGTTTGTTGTGAAGTTTCAAGTGTAAAAATATGGTCTCACGACATGATCCAAGTCTTTATATATATTTGTGGTTATATTTGATTTCCAATCATCTAATGATCTAATCTTGTGTACACTAACTTTGCAGATTCATTTGATTGATGTCTGCATTTCTGAAAACATAAATTATTTGCATTTCTATTTTTTCTTTTGTTCTTGAAGCCTAGAAGTTTAGGTTGATTTGCTAGTTGGATATGTGAATATGTTATGGGTATATTGGTTGGTTTTGCATTAAGTCCTGTATAGATAAAAATTTTTGTGTGGATTAATCTGTCTGTATAGATTTTGAAGATTTTTCTTTGAAAGGATTTTTCATAGATGAAGGGAGCATATTTTTTAATTGGGAGGGGTAGTTTTGAAAAAACTTGGTTGTCTGCATAAAGCTCCCCCCTAGAAGCTTAATCAATAAGCCACTTTCGATATATCATTAAGCCACTACAAAACAGTCATGTAAAGCTGACTGAATAAGGTATAAGTTTCGTTGAGCTCATTAAGCTACTAACAAACAGATCCTAAGGCATTATCCAATGCATCCACCTTTGGACCATAACACTAACGTGATGATTAAATTCGACTACTTATGCTATGTAAATGTCGTCTCTTCGTGTAAAACGGGATATGCATATTTGATTTGCAGGTGTTCCATGGACAGAGGAAGAACATCGGATGTTTCTGTTAGGTTTACAAAAGCTCGGGAAAGGCGATTGGCGTGGAATAGCAAGAAACTACGTGATTTCAAGAACACCGACTCAAGTTGCAAGCCATGCCCAAAAATATTTCATCAGGCAAAGCAATATGTCTAGGAGAAAGAGACGTTCTAGCCTCTTCGATATCGTAGCCGATGATGTAAGTATCACGTAACTTTCCGGGCTCGCTTTCGATTTCGAGAATGCAATCTTTCATTTTTCTCCATTTTATGCTTTTAAGTTATTGCCTTTTTGTGTTTCTTGAATTTTTGCAGTCCCCAGACACACATATGGTTTCATCTCTTGATTACCCAGCTGGGAACCCGTCACAACCGGAGGCTCAATCCGTCAACAACCCGTTGACGATACCGACCCTCGAGGAAGAAGAATGTGAGTCAATGGATTCTGCAAACTCGAACACCATGGACCCGCCCACTGACCCGACACACGCACCTCTAAATCTCGAGGGTTCACAATGCTTGTATCCGGTTATGTTTCCGACATACGTATCTCCACTCATACCGGTCGCTATCCCTTATTGGCCAGGACCCGGGTCTGGTCAAACTGGTCAAGATCTAACTTCATCGGCCAAAACCGAGTCTCACGAGGTTCTTAAGCCAACAGCGGTCCATTCAAAGAACCCGATCAATGTGGATGATCTTGTCGGGATGTCGAAGCTGACGTTAGGTGAATCGATTGGGGATGGTGCACCAACTTCGCTGAAACTAGTTGGAGGGCTGAACCGTCAATCTGCATTTCATGCAAATAATCCTGGTCCAAGAACGGATCCGAACCACAATCCAATCCATGCGGTTTAAAGGGTAAAAATGATTTCGGTATCTTTTCGGTTATTTCGTAGGGTTTAGCTATGTTTGTAAGCTTTCACCAAATCAGAAATCCCTATATATACATGACAATAATATCTAGCTTTTTATGTGGATTCTTTTTGAATTTTGATATCTAGAAATCGTTTAACTATATCGGTTCAAGTCTTTTCAGGGTTACTGGAAATTTTGTGTCGGTGTTTTAGGGGAGGGGATTAGTCGAGGTGTATTCAAAGCTAACCAGACACCCACAATATCATTTCGTTATGGAATTCTATTGGTACGATTTCGTAGGTTGCTAGTTTGTATGTCCTTAGGATCATCGTGTTTTTTGAGAGCCCTATGAGATCGGTCTAGATGGGTGTAATCTGGTCTGAAAACCCATAATTAAAAAGAAATTGATATTCGAAACATGAAACATGAAAAAATGTATGTAATCTGCTTTGGAAACCCATAATTAAAAATAAACTGATATTGGAAACGTGTAACGTATACAAAGACTTGCAAGATTGATTTTTTTATTTTTTTTTTATATAAATACCGAATGATTTGGTATAAATGAATAAGAGGTTTTATATGATTTAATATAAAGTAAGAAAAATATTGTTTGGTAAATGTTCTGAATAAATAGTAAAAAGAACATAAAAGTAATGTAGATATTTCACCGTTAAACCTTTTTTTCCCTTTCAAAAATAGTGTGTTTTGTCCGTCTTTTTTATGTGGATTCTTCAAATTTTTTGGTTCCCGGTCAGGATTTGGGACTCTCTCGATAGCTTCAACAGTTCACTGAACTATGAGATTTCTCATTATTCGTACGAAAATGAGGAAACCAAACTTCTCCTCAGGAGGATAGATGAGGCGATTCAGGTGAGCAGGAGACGGCCATCTCAAGGCAAATCACAACTTACAGGCAACACAAGACCTGAGAAGACAACCCGATTGGAAGTCAAAAGGATATAAAAACCCCTCAGCATCGGTACAATCGAAAAATAGAAATTGAATTGTTTGGTTTTGAATTAGAGACGTTAAATCAATTGATCCCTATTCATTCAGTCAAAGTCTCCATGGCCTTTCCTTTTGTCCGACTTTTTTATGTGGATTCTTCAAAAAAATTCCAAAATGGAAAAAGAAACTTCAAAATCTCTAAATATACATTTAACTCCAATCATATTCTTCATTTTGAAGATTTGAACATTGTTTATATTATTAAAATATCCATTTTCATCTAATAAAATATTATTTTTCTTTTTAAATATTTATTTTCAAAGTCTTCTAGTGATGAAAATATGTTAAATAATCTCTCTCATTGTAATCATTTTTGGGTATTCTCAAAATTTGGAGATTTTTGCACGCACTCTCCTAGTTTCTCTATTTTGGAGAATCTGTTGGAGCAAGAACATGCCCAAAATCCCCCAACATCTCTATTTTCTTCAATTTGGAAATCTGTTGGAGATGCTCTAAGATGCGCCATTAGACGGGTCACACGGTCATCATGAACGAGGTAAATCAATGCATACATCAAAGCCCTTTGACTCGAACCCCGAACTTTACTCATATGATTACACCCACACTTCTAATGTTTGAATATCATCCTACACCCTTTGAAAAAAAAAAAGTAACTTGTCTTCATGGTAAAGTTTCATTTTTGGATTTGACGTTCACAACCAGACCATAGGATGAACCAATGGTCTGGTTTTGAAGATCGAATCGAGGAACCCATTGATTCCTAATTCTCTTCTTCGTAATTCAACGGGGAGAAAATTCATTAAATTATTTTTGACTTCATAATTCAATAATATCAAATACAAACTTCCAAGATGGATACAGTTATTCGTCATAACATCTTCGACCAACAGGAGTGAAATTATCGAAATGGCTTATTTAACGCAACATATCCTTCAGCAAAGTAAGTTGTATTATCTACAAAATACTAACCTCCGAATGCCAGGTAAACTGTAAGCTTCAAATGCTAGATTTCACATCTTTAGAGTATAATACCGACTTCCAAGATGGATTTCTTGGTATAAAAGTGTCCTGAAATATGCAAAATGATACATTAGCTTAGCTCTATTTACAAACCAAGACCAAATTATGTTTCGAATCAAAGAAAAGGTGCGCCATGGGGACGGGGTGGGTTTGGGGATCGGGTATATATGCATGAATTGACTTCAAGGAGAACTTGTAAAGGGCGACACGTATACACCAAGCGTATTTGGCCTTGTGGTTGGGACAATCTTTTCGTTGTGATCCATCTAACGTTATCCGTTCCTCTAAGATCCACAACTCAATTCTTGTAAATAAAGAGAATGGTAAACATAATTATCATAAATGCAGGATCAAAGGATGACAGACTTTGTCCCTTTGTAGTTCAAAAAATGATGCTTGACTTGATAGAAACCCTAAGGTTAAAGTTCAAGGACGAAAGGGAACGTTTACTAATAAATCGTTATTCTAAATTCATGTTTGGCAACCATAAGCTAGCTTATTTTCTGGGCTTATTGAAAAAGCCTCGTTTAAAGTAGCATTTCAATAAGCTCTAACAAGTTTTATCCATTTTTTTCCGATCCAATTAAATTTCTAACATGCCCTCTTAGGTCATTTGCATTGTCATCTAGCTTATGAACTACTAGTATTTACCAAAAATACAAGAACTAGCTTGTTAACAGCTAGTTTGTCAAACATAGCCTTGATCTCTATCGACAATTGTTATCCATAATTGGTAAACCGAAAGTGCTAAATGTAATCCTACTTTCAGCTGAAACATTCTTAACATGTATGCTTCACAAATCATTCAAATGAGCATGAACCTCCTTAAAGCATAGTAGTGAAAGTCATATGATGGCAACAATCCCATATTTAGAAGAAGAAAATACTACTTTTTAAGGTCAATTTTACCAAATTTCACATCGATTTTGTTCCGTTTCTACGGCAGCAAAACAATTTCTATCGCTGAAAGTTAAAGGAAAAGTTATTTAATCAGATACGAACTGAAACTGATACGGATTCCTTCCTGATAACATCGCAGGGACAAACATTCATATGATTCGAAACGCAGGGGAAAACAACCGTATTATGATAAAAACCCTAAAAAATTGATCTACAAAATTGAAGAAGAGAGATGGCGGTAGCGGAGCTTACAGAGATGTAAGAGCATGTAGGGATGACGGATAAGGAATTGGACTGAGCATGATTGAAGGCGGCAACAGTTAGATGTGAAGCTAAACCCAAACCTCTCTTGCTTGCCGGAACGAAGGTGTGAACCATATCCATCACTTTTCCACCATTTCTCAACTCGTACTGCAAGTATGCTTGCTTGTCTTCTGTTTCAAACCTTCTCTGTCTCTCGTTCCATACTATCTTCATCGCCGCAGCCTCCGGCGTTGCTCCGGTGCTCCCTGTCGCCATTTATTTCTCCCGATCGCTTTAGTCTAAAGCTATTTGAATGTTTAAATCAGTAAATTGTAAATTATATAATATGTTTTATTTTATTAAATTAAAATAAATATAGGTTATATTAAATCAAAATAAATATCTAGGGCCTGTCTACCAAACGCTTACCTAACCTATAATGCTTATGGACCTACCTTTGTGACTTGTGAGCACGGAGTGATTGAGCAAGCCGTTGGAACCAGTTTTGGACGAGAGGACTGAGTCGCTAGAACCGTAGATGAAACTGAACCGACGATGTAGCCGTTGTTGCTAAGGGAGGTTTGAATGAGAGTGGGAGATATTGGATAGTTTCCCGTTGTTGGTCGGAGTTGAACAATAAGGAGAAACGGTCGCCGGTGCTTATCAAGTTCTAAAGAGAGAAAATAGATTTACGGGTTGATGGATTCTGATCCAGTCGAGAAGAGGAACAGTCGCCCGATGAGATGAACGAAAGAGATGTGAGGGGTTTTCCGGGTCATGAAAAACATGGAAATGATTCGTTTGGTTAGCCGTATTTGTATACGGGTCGGACTCATTTGCCAAGATCCGTTGTTTTCATCTGCGTAACACCCTGTTCACTGACCATCCTTGTCAACATATTGTACACAAAAGATAACTCGATGGATGTATATGTTTTAGGTTCTCATTCTTATCCAAAAAAATTATTACATATATATTTAGAGCAAAACTCTAATGATCTTTCTCTCTTTTTTAAACACGCTTCTTCCATCTACAAAAAAACTTTCTTAATCTATATAGACAAAGTAATCTATATAGAGTTATAAACAACTTTATCCATATAAGACTTAATGGAAAACTAACTAAACGACCTCTAATGCTCATTGGTATCCTAGTTTTGCAAGTACTTTAGAGAAAACGCAATGAAATGGGTGTTGAACAATCGTTGAAGGTGACCTCATGGCCATTGGGACCGCAGGGGGGGTGTGCAAGCAAGGCACGACTTGTTTTTATAGTGTACATGGCGGAAATAGGGTTCCTGCTACCGTCTGGAGAGCCTCTACGACCATCACTAGAGAGGTAAAACATGTGTCTTGAGGCAGATCCGAGTAATTCATGTGTTCTAAGGCAGGTGTTGGGTGAGTCTAGATTTCGAACGAGCACTTGTGGAAACTCCGTCTCGTTTCACCAATGCAACGACATTTGAGGTGTAAGTTCACATAGTGAAGCATGGGCTTTTTCAGGCCTGGACCCAGCTTTCCAAGCCCTTTTTCAGTTAGCCCAAAAAAGGAGTCTGGGCCCAAATCTTTTGTTAGGGCCAGGTTTCGGGTCTTTTGTGGATCCCATATGAATTGAGTTGTGATTTTGCTTGAAATTATGTATTTACAGCCGTTAGGAGATGAGTAATGAGTTGATAGCTTCTTTGTAGTTTGTAATGTAAATTTAAATTTGCATGCTTTTTTATCTTGTAATAAAATAATTTCAATTTTTATTTTATATTTTAGAATTTTATTTTAATTGTTGATCAAAACAGAACTCGATCGTTTGATTTGATTTGAGATATTCTTGGATATGTAGCATCGCAATATAAGAGCATCCGCATCATAAAGGTTTATGCCACATCATCCGGTGAAAAGGTGTGGGGTTATAGGCCCCACATTTAAATATTATGAATTTGGCTTGCAATTTTGAATAGGCATAACAACGAGGTGGGGATGGGCAGGATTGAGTCTCCCTAGCCCGGTTTCTATGAACGACTCCACTGCCTCGGTCTCCGACGGGTACGGGGATTAATATCTCATCTCCGGTTTATTTTCTGGTTAAACCCCAATCTTCGTCCCCGGTCAAGACCTAATTTTAGAAAATAAATAAATAATATATATATATATATATATATATATATATATATATAAAGGTTGGTTATTATACAACCCTTGTAATTTGTGCAACCAATACAACCCAATCTCAACCGTCTATTTCATTTGATTAATATGTGATTTTATAAAGGTTTTGATTATTTTCTAATATAAAGTATTAATCATAATTAATGAACCGTATTCACCTTCCATAAATATTTAAATCATAATAAATGAACTTTAATCATTTCCATAAATATTTTAATTTATTAGATTGCATTAGTTGTACAAATGCGATAAGTTGTATTTGAAATAAACCATATATATATATATATATATATATATATAGGTTGGTTATTATACAACCCTTGACATTTGTGCAACCAATACAACTCAATCTCAACCGTCCATTTCATTTGATGAATATGTGATTTCATAGAAGTTTTGATTGTTTCATAATATAAAGTATTAATCATAATTAATGAACTCTATTCATATTCCATAAATATTCAAATCATAATAAATGAACTTTCATCATTTCTATAAATATCTCAATTAATTGGGTTSCAAGGGTTGTACAAATACACAAGGTTGTAAAAGAAATATACCCTATATATATATATATATATATATATATATATATACATACATACATATATTATATAAAATATATTAATAAAATTATATACCAGGTACAGAGTGGGTCGGGGATATGCTACCCGACTTTGACCCCGACCCCAACCCCAATATGAGTGTACTGGGGCTCCCTGGTCCCGATACTCGTTTTAGCAAGGAATCCTTGTTCCCATTTGGGTCGAGTGAGTCGGGTTTCCTACCGGGTCGGGATAAATCACCATCCCTAATTTTAACCATCCTATACCTTTTTTTTTAAACATATAAATAATTTCAAAAAAGGATTTTAATAAAATAATTTAATTAATTACTAACTTCTACCTACACAAATTAACTACCATCTTTTTTTACTTACAAAAAAGCTACCTACATCACTCTAAGTTACTTCTTTCACCCCTTTTCAATATGGATTTTAATCAAAATTACATAATATAACTATAACGAAGGGATTTTAGTAACTAAGTAGATCCTTCAATATCCATATCTCAAAGTTTAATTTAACTATTTCAATAATACTTTCAAATGAATGTTGAATTAGTAAAACTTGATCCAACTACCAAAGAGCCTTTAGCCTAACGGTATGTGAGTTTTTGGTCTGCTATGAGATCATGAGTTCAAATCTCACGAAAAATCAACCGATTCAACTAGAACCGACCGACCATAACTATATATCCAATTAATCATCTATTTATCCATCCAACCATTACCCAACTATCATCCAGTTAATTTGTTTTCAATTTCCTTAAATTAGAATTTGTTTTTGTGTTGGTTTTTGAATTTTTAGCCTTGCTTGTGTTGGTTTTCAGACATAATTAAAGTGATCAATTAATTTGTTTTATTGTTGAAAAATTGGATTAAATTAACAAATTGGATGGATCCGATCCGGTCTGATTATCCATTGGATGTCGGGTGGATCCAATCCAATTAATATTAGTTGAATCCAATAATAATATCCAATGGATGGAACTGAACCAATTGGGTCAGTTGGTAAAGCCAACATCTAATGGATAATTGGATCGGATCAGATCCTCTCATATCCAGTGAATATAAAGAGATGAACACGCCTACCAGGATATATGAGATTTTCTACTGCATCACCCTAAGACTTAACCAGTAAACCACAATCCAAATACAAGTGGTGTGTGTCAAATTTCACTTTCCGGTTACAAAATAATTAGATTTTAAGATTTAGGTAAAAAATTGATATATAAGCAAACAAATTTTTAAAAAATAATATAATTCAACTATAAAGAATCAAATAGATAGGGATTGTTTGCAGTTGCTGAATGATTTGATGCAAAATGATTAAGTGGTCAGAATAATTAAGAGTCTCTCATGATAAAGTACAAAATAAAATATAATTGTTTGGTAATTGTTTACAACGAAATTAGGGCGCTGAATGGTTAACGGATGTCTAGAATACAAAATAATTCAGAGGGGTTTTAGAACCATTAAAAGATAGATTTTTTTTTGTCAAACAAGATTTATCTATTAAGAGGTAAACAAACAACTCTTTTGAAATTTTGCACATTATTTATTTATTATAGCAGACAACTCTTTTGCCACATTCGCTTTTTAGCCGATTGTTTTGTTTAAACTTTAAATTTCACTAGTATGGGAACCGCGCGTTGCGCGGTAACATGAGTGTTTTGATTAATGATGTGAGGATTGTTTATATAAATATATATTAATTGTTAATAGAGTCATCAACAAATCATATTCAAATAATTCAAAAAAGTTAAATAAAATAGTTAGTGAAATTTTAATACACACACACACACACACATATATATATATATATATATATATATATATATATAACGACGGAAATATTAAGAAATCTGACACAAATTTAAGAACAAAAATACTCCACATAAAGATATGTCTCCTTCAAAGGATGATGTACATGTACTATTTTTCATCTTCAACACACACCTTGACTTTAAAAACACAATAGTGAATGAACCAACCATACGATATGTAAAAAATCACATACCAAACTTAAAACTTCAAATCTTTATAACCCAATAGATAAAATTATAATGCAATCAAAATCATAACATGGACATACATAAAATTATAATACGACTAAACTTACGATAAAAACATACTTAAAAATATAATCCAATCAAAATCATGAAACAAACATACATAACATTCTAATACACTCTAAATTACAAAACAAACTTGCATAAAATCCTTACTTTAGATCATAATAAAAAATTCCCACAACCCAAACTTGAAAAGTTCAAATATTCAAGACTTGATATATAAACGTTAAAGACTTCGAAAACCTGCAAACAAAAAAAGTTCAACATAAGTAAAAATTACATGGTGAACTTTAACATTTTAAATCTTCACCTAATACATAAGAGGTATAATGCAAACAAAAATCATGATACAAACATAAATAAAATTATAATGCAATCAAAATAATAAAACAAATCAATATAAATTTTTTACCTTATATTGCAACCAAAAAATTAAATATTGAATTTGAAGATTTCTTCAAATCTTCATGGCATAATGCATAAAAACTATAATGCAATCTAAATAACGATACTAACATACATAAAATTATGGGAGAAGTGAAAAAAAAAACTATGAAGATTATCAATAGTAAAATAGAAGAAAAACCAAAGAAAAATAAATAAATTTATAGATGTATAAGATAGAGATAGAATTTGAGAGGGTGTGAGAGATGAAGATGAATAAATAGTTGTTGTTTATATGTATATAAATAAATGATTGATGGGAAAAGATGAAGTGTTTGGAGTTATGTCATTTGAATTAATATAGAAGGAGATGAATGGTTTGAAGTTGAATGCAAACATTTAATAAAAAAACATAAATTGACAAAAAAAATATGTAGTAGTGCATATTGAGAGAATGAAGGAGAAAAAAGAAAAATGAGGTTCTAGGCTTTAGGAGATGCCACTTCAAACACTCATACATAAGAGCTATAATGCAAACAAAAATTACGATACAAACATAAATAAAATTATAATGCAATCAAAATCATGAAACAAATCAACATAAAATTATTACCTTATATTGCAACCAAAAAATCAAATATTGAACTTGAATACTTCTTCAAAGCTTCGTGACATAATGCATAAAAACTATAATGCAATCTAAATAACGATACAAACATACATAAAATT